GGTGTACATGTAGCCACTGTACATGATCTCCTAGCATGCATCTTTGCATTTTAACTTTGTCTCGGCTTTATTTCATTTTTACACCTATTTTTACTTACCTCCACTTATTTGTTGATAGTCTATCCTGTTATAAACTACCCCAAAGAACTCTTTTAACAAAATAGTATCTGAAAGATAACTTGTAACAAATGAAAGGATTGTTGAATTGACAAAATTTAATTGATTGTATGGTATTTCTTTCTAGTCAACACTGAAAACTGCACCCCTATAAGGAAGGATCCTTTCTGGGGGCCTCCGGAGTGAAGGGAAACAAAGGTCCTGAAAAGAGAAAACCCTGATGTTTGCTTTTCCTTGGAATGCTCCCATCCCCCCGCTGGCCTCCCCAAACTTGGATGCTGCCACACACATCTCAAAACAATTACTTCACCTCTTTCTCACAAGTGTTCCTGCTACGCAGACCTAAAACCATCTTTACGAGGTGAGTTGACAGAAATACAATTAAATTATTTATCCTGAGGCACAGCCATATGGTGTGTGTTTAAAGAAACTCAGCTTCACTTATGACATGGGGTTCTGAGAAGAGCATATTCTCTCTCTCAGAGGGACTGCTCTCCCTGGGAGGACAGAGAGGGGATCAGGTTTGCACAGGCTGGATGCAGGAAAAGGAAGAAGCCCGCGCAGTCGGGGGAGGCCTCCCTCTTTGGAGGCCCTTTGCTTCACTTCATTGCCAACCCTCCCCCGGGCCCTCACACATCACTCCCCGCCTTCCTCCGCTCTTTCTGTTCTCTTGCTCCTCCCAACCAGCCTGCCGCGTGGGACGGGATATTGGTTAGCCCTCCAGTAAGCAATCTAGATTCTGATTGCACTGAGCAAAACTGAACCCTAAACCCAAAAATGACGGGACTACAGGAACCAGCACAGATTGGTGCATACTTTAACCTTCCCTGACAATTTATTTCGTTCACCCAGATCCCAAGCTATAGCTGGTGGGAAAAAATGGGGCACAATACAAGTAACATAGACCCTTTGAAGATCACAACTCAGTGGACTTGCAGAGAGAATGAACAAATCCCTTACGCAGAAATTCAGTCCCCTCCATGGGCTGTTAAATCATCCAAGCACTCACAGTGCCACCTGGTCTATGCCTCTTTCTTTCATCATGGGATAGTGTAGATGCTATAAAACTGTTGTCCCCACCACTGGGCTGCAGACAAGTACCGGTCAGTGGCCTGTTAGGACCCAGGCTGCACAGCTGCCTGAGCTCTGTCCCCGACACCTGACCCCTGTCCGTGGAAAAATTGTCTTCCATGAAACTTAGGAACCAGGCCACACAGCAGGAGGTGAGTGGCGGGGGAGCCAGTGGAGCTTCGAAGCTTCATCTGTGTTTACAGTTGTTCCGCATGGCTGACATCACCATGTGAGCTCCACCTACCCCTCCCTGCCCGTGGAAAAATTGTTGTCTATGAATCTGGTCCCTGGTGCCAAAAGGGTTGGAGAGGGCTGAAACAATCAGAAGCCTTCTCTAGAAGGAGTCACTTTACATTTGCTGTTCCCCTGCTTGCTTGCTTTGCCTCAGTTGCACAGCCTTTTAGAGAACCGAAAGACCAGGCAGGACGGGAAATAACTCTGCATGAGTCCATTCTTCCATGTGCCCAGAGCTTGTTCCCCTGCTTCTTGGTGACATTGCCATGAGGTAGACACAAAATATCAACACAGCAATCATAATCCAACAGGGTTGTAAAACCATAGATTTATTTATTTGTTCCCAAAGGGGTGTAAGCCACCTAAATCTCTGTTTAATTGTGTATCTCTCATTAGAGCTTTTTTTATCTTTTAGAATACGGTGGAGCCAATGCTGCTCCTTATGAAGGTAAGTGTTGGGGATGAGGGGAATTTGTGAACTGAGATCTTTTCCATCCAGAACACAAATGTTGTCTGTACTATGTCAAGGTGGGAAAAACCCCATTTTGTCAAGTAGGTTTATGACAAGGGCATCAGCCTGATTGTCCCACAGAGCGAAGGAAACGGATTACACACAAACATGCCCAGGACAATAGGTGGACATCTGAATCGTGGAACAGCACTTAAGCTCTGGCTATTTTTCTCCTGCATGAGTTCTATAGAAATCCAAATGGCAGCCCATAGGGGTTGTGCTTTAAGGAGAAAAAAAGCAGACTTCTGAACCTCAAAGGGACAAGATGAGATGGCCACTCTGACCAGCTGTGCGCCTTGAGGAAGCATTTCAACTGTGTGGGTCCCAGTGTTTCTGTCTATACTAGGAAGGGGTGGGGCTAGCTGATGTCCGAGGTCTGCTTCAGCTCTGTAAGTCTAAATTCTAAAAAACAAACAAAACTCAACATCTTCTACAAGGTCAGCAGGAAAACATTCCTTTTGTGAAA